GAATTATGGAAATGAAAGTGAAAGTAGTCAAACTGAATTTTTAATATACCAAAATACAGTTTCAAAGAAAATAAATTCAAATTCAAACCATTAAATTCAATTTCAATTCAGAGAAATTTATTTTCAAACCAATGTATTCAATTTCAAATTCTGCACATTCAGATTCAATCTGAACAATTAAAGTTCATTTCCTGCTGACACAAGATTTATCTCAGTTGGTCAGGAGCAGCAAGGATAGACCACATTCAGAAGTGGTTAAATTTCATTCTTAATCTGTGCGTTATTCTTTTTTAGGGTTTTTTCCTGGTAGTTCTCAAAATTGCGAGGCCTTTTTAAGACACAAAATGACTCTCATCTCTCCTTCAATACTGAAGAAATACGGCATTCCATTTGAAAAGGTATTCATTTGTTATTCAGTCAGGGGATCTCTATTCCAACACACAAAAATGATTCAACTGCAGTTACTAATTTTTTGACGACCTCCGTAGATCACACAGGAAGCCGGTGAGTTCATGATCACGTTCCCCTACGCCTACCATGCTGGTTTCAACCATGGTTTCAACTGTGCCGAGTCCACCAACTTCGCCACAGAGAGGTGGATCGAGTACGGCAAGCAGGCCGTTTTGGTGAGGGCCAGAAGGGACAGCACGAGCCACATCGCACAGATGAAACGAAACAAAGTTCCTACAACGTTCTTGATTGTGCCTTTTTCTCCCGTCAGTGCTCGTGTCGTAAAGACATGGTGAAGATTTCGATGGATGTATTTGTTAGGAAATTCCAGCCAGATCGCTACGAACAGTGGCTAGCAGGACGAGATACGGTTTCCATCGACCACTCACTGCCCACTCCCGAGGCCAAGGAGTTTTTGGGCCACGCCTTTACCAACAGCATGAGCAGCTGCTTCACTGACATCTGCAGGGAAGATGGAGAGCGGAAAAGGTTGGTTCCTTCATTGTAAATACTTATTTTCAGTGTTTTATAAAGTACCTCAAAGTGATACTTGAGTAAAAGAATAGAAAACAAGAATGGATACATGAAACTAAAATAAATAAATAAATAAATAAATAAAAATCAACATGAAAAGGTAAACAACCTCACAATACAAGAACAGACCTAATCTGTAATGAGCCTGATCATGCATTAAGTTTAATTATATACTGTAAGTAATTAAAATATGGGATAAAATGCAAAATTCTTATTGATATTTTTATAAATGTGTAGACAAAACATTTATGCATAGGTGCCCATCCAGAATGTTTTTTTGAAAATGTGCCAAAGTGTTAAGCATATTAGTAAAGGTTGCAAAGACTAATAGTGCTTTAAATTAATTAAATGATTTCTGTATTTATCATCCAATATTAACTGTATTTTAGGCTGCGTAAAGCCCTGACATTTACAGCTGATACAACATCAACTCTGCAGTTCTGCTGTCTTCTGTTCAGAGAGGCTGGCTGTTCTAACCTACAAATGTCGTTTTAAATATGTTTTTCCTCCAAATATAAAGCTGGTGAAAAAAGATTAGGTAGAAAGAAGAAAAAATTTAATTATTTTAACCAAACAATTAAGTTATAATTTTACTATATTTGTAACCTGGTGTTATCTTGAGAGCTTGTGACATTTCCCACAATGCTTTGTGTCTCCTTATGTAGCAGGAAGGCAATGTTTAGTACGCTCCCTTTCCCAATGAAAACAGTAAACGTTTGTAATCCATACCAAAATTTTGTATGTATTCATTTATTTTAATTTACAATCAGAGCTCCTTTTTTAAAAAACTAAAGTTTAAACGCTGGAGCTCAGTACTTAATTGGTCGAAGCAACAGGGTTATAGACTTATGCTGACGAAGACTGACATCTAGTTGTCAACTGGAGCAGCTGCAGCTACATGGAAAAGGAAAACGTCTTCATGCATCTCAAAAATCAAAAATCATTAGTTCCTCTGGATGGTTCTTCTTTAGTGAAACGTTTCATCTCTCCTCCAAGAGACTTCTTCAGTCTGATGAGTTTCAGGTGAACTGGAATCGATCCAATGGAAACATGGAAAACTAAAATCCAAGCTCTTATTTTGAAGGGAAAATACTAGTTTCCTGTTCCCTGTGCTTTCGTTTCCCGTCACAAATGTACCCAGAATGCATCACTTCAGTTTTCCAATAAACAGTGTTAGCTTATTGATGCTTC